TGACTTTCATATATTCTTAGCCGATTTTGATTCTTGTTAGTTTGTTTCGCATTTGTCTTTTGTCACATGGTGACATTTGTTCGTTTTATCGGGTATATTATAGGTTTGAGCTTGTTCTAGCGAGGATTTCGTTATATCGAAGCTCGCTATATCGAGGTTCCGTCCCATACATTTTACTGTAACTTTGGCCGGACTGAAGAGTATGGTTCGTTTTACTGAGGACTTTGTTATAGAGAGGTTCGTTAAATCGAGGTTCTAAGGTACTTCTGAGTAGGTCAGGACGGTTCTAAACCACCTGAGATAAACGCGCATGCAAATTGTAATAATTTAAATCCATTAGCCGCGTCAGTGTAAAACATCAATGGAGCGGTCCGCTCTAAACCCTTTTCGTCCCAACGTCACACATGTGTAACAATAGATATGACTAACTATTCTTGAGCTTGCGAGATGTTAAATCAAATTGAACTGGAGAAGGGGGGCGGGAAGATCCCACCGGTCCAATAATAAAACTCCCTTATGACGGAACTAATTACGTCTTACTGGAGGAAAGTGTTTTGCACAGGAAGTGTTTGTCACAGGAAAAATTTCAGATCGAATAAAAACAATTTATTTTTTAAAGGCAAACTACCCAACACTATGACAAAGGATATCTTCAGGTGATCTCGCATTCGCCATTAGGGGAGAGGGGCTACTGAAAGAAGGGGGGGAAGGACAGTTTTGAACAAACTCTTAAATCAAAAAAATCTCAAGGGTAAACCAATATTTTCAGGACTTGCGATCTTTTGTATAAAAAGTGATACAGTGGCACACTTTAAAAAAAATGATCATGGTAAAAGTCTTCTCCATGGTTTGGGCGAGAAGGTTGACCATAGACGCGTCATCAGTTTAGATTTCATGCAAATGGTTTGGTTTTCAACAGCTGTGACTTGTAAGTTTCAGGGTTTTTTTTCTTTTGTTTTAATCTTTAAATGAATTTCAAAATACATCTTGAGCACTCCGATACCTGTACTTATTCTAATCTCGCAAAGGTGACTATTATTATACTTTCATTTAAAAAATACAGCGACACTTGCACGATCTCTATTGTTTATAAGGTTTTACCGGCGATGTGCACTGGATAAGCACGTGACCTAAAAACAGTTACATACATTCACCGGATTGTGAGTTACTATTTGGAGATCATTTTCCATCCTTTGAATAACCGAGTCCATGTAAATTTTACAAAATCCGGCGATTTAATTTATCAGCGAAAAAATTATTCTTCACTTTACTAAGTGCCTGAGATTTTGTGCGACATAAAATAATAAAGAAATGAAAACTTTAAGTAAAATTAGGAACCAAAATCATTAAAAACGGTACCTTTGTATAAGCGATTTGTTATGGTTTTAAAAACAGTAAAGCTATCTCTGAATTGCTAATTCCGTGAATGTGATAACTGACACAGTAAAAGTCGTCTTCAATCTCACTTATTTACTAAGCTGGTGATCTATAATTGTTTCCATCCCCCAAAGACTTTCGTCAACAGAAAGTATACACTGTCGGTCAAATTATGGCGTCGAAACAAGAACCATAATTGTCAACATTAAGCTCACTGCTCTCATCTGCTTTGGACTGTTTATAATTGCAGAATGTAAGGCGTGATTCCTTATGCATTTTCATTTAAGGCCGAATGAAGGAAAAAAATCAACATTAAATTAAAAAAAAGCAAGCTATCCTCTATAGACAACAACAATAGAAAAATTAACTGCAAAAGAAATAAGCTGAAAAACTTTATGTCACATATCAATAAAGAGCCTTAAAGAGCATAATCTGTTTCATGTAGCCTCTTGCTTAACTCTCAAAGAAGCCACATTTTCAGTAGAACTGATACTCCGCCCCTCCATGTGTAACTGCTTTCAGTTATACCACCTATACACCTATTATTAAGGGTGTCATTGTTTTAAAGTGTTTTATTTTTTCATTGTTATCGTTTTTTTGTAACCTCACTACCAAATGTAAACAAATATCAAAGTCATACGAGAGGAGTCCTTTCTTCTCAGGTATGTGATGACATCACACTCTTTATATTGCACCAAAGCGTATCTTCAACATTTGAGAGTCGTCACTCACTCAGGATCAGCGGATTCCTTTGGCTGCCAAGTCTTCTTTAACCCGTCGGAGATAATCTGGGTCCGGATAACCATACCTATGAAGATAATTACAAATATTTTAGCAGCGAATTGAGCACTATGTATTATTATGAAATATCAGTAAAGAAGACTTGTGCATCGAAGAAGAACATAGAGGCTTCCAAACTTTCAAGCTTCTACGCAACGTTAGAGTCCAATGTATTCTCTTTTAATCAAGTCGAAAAATATTAACCAATCACTCACGCCTGAGGTCCTCCAGAAATGCTAGTCTTGTGGTGAATATCATTCCAGGTGATCTGGTTTAGCCACCCAGAAGTTACTGATGTACCCACCGTGAACACCAATCGGGCATCAAAGGCTCTCCTTAGAAGAGCCAATACCTCTTTCCCTTCTCGGTTATCAGGAAGATATGCGGTACGACTGGTACCACTGTATGTTTCGCCAGGGTGTGGATGCTCCCGGCCTTGAATCCCAGAAGGAAAGACGTAGGTAATGATAATTGTTCTACATCCTGCAAAGAGAATTGCACCATCCAAGATGGTCAAAATAGAGCAAAAATTCAATCACCAGAATGGGTACCGGATTCATTTTGCCTTTTACACGCTTAGACTTCTAATGAGGAGATATTGAATCCAAATTAAGATCTTTGTGTCTGTTAACTTTAAAATTTAGAACGCTTCGTGAATCAACGATTTTCCATCACCTCCGAACGATTTTTTTTTTTAATTTCTCGTTTGTCCTTTTTCTCAAAGTCTTTAACCGTACCACATAGAATGATCCACATCTCTTCACTGATACCAGCACTTAAAAATCTTTCCCTTAACTTTAAGTGCTAGGGCTACCGTGGGTAATAAAAACTTTTACATCATCAGGTTGTTGGGACATTTTAATCGTACGAGTGTCGAGCAGAAAAATCTGGTCAGAAACCACTTCTCCGCGGAACCTTGCTGATTTATCGGTGTTACACCAAACTCAGTCATATACTAAAACTAATATGAACATAATATCCCAGACGTAAATAATCATTTTCAGGTACGAACATAACCCAATCAAAACATCTACGGGAAAGCAGAAATAAAGATGGAGGGGAAGAGTAACTGGGACCCAAAATCGTCCTGAGATCACTAAGAGGATCCCATCCTAGTGTGATTATTTTATCATTACCGCGATAGCCTGGAAGACTCTGCTGACCATGGAACACATGCATTTGTCCGTCAGGTTGATTTCCTTTGACAACACCTTGCGGTTCTTTACATACTGGACATCGGTTGTCGTAAGTCAAAGCAGTCTCCACACAGTCAGTACAGAAGACATGCCCACACTTTAGTTTTTTAGCATTTTCTA